TTGTAATACCCTCAATGCCCGCCTGGTCCTGGGAGAAAGGGGGGGGGGTCAGGAATGCCTTCCAAGGACACTGAGTCTGTCGGCTGTCTCTCCCTGTGCTGGTCCCGGGGGGGTTACCGTGCGGCAAGGTCTGTGTCCAGTCCGGGGTTGAGGGTGTGGTGTGTAAGCTGTCAGTCAAGGCAGAAGCAGGGTCCAAGGCAGGGAGTCGGGTGGGGTCAGGAACTCTGGCAGGAGAGCAGGACAGGGTGCAGGCAGGAACAGGCTACCAACAATGTTGCTCCAGCAACCTGGCACTGGGGCTGACTGGCTTTTATCTGCCCGAGGCATAGGGCGGCCCCGGTCCACAGGTGACTTGCCTCTCCTGGCCTGGAGGCGAGCACTCCTCCTGCGGGAACTTAGTTCCCTCTGCCTCTCTGCCCTGAGCCTCTGCAACTCAGGAGAGGCTGGAGGGTTACCAGACCCAGAGGCAACCTCAGCTTCCTCTGACGAGGCTGAGAGTGGAGCACCTGCAGGCAATGGGTCCTCCATCACCTCAGGGGCCAAAGCAGACTCAGCTGGTGCCTGCACCTGAGGATCCAGCACAGGTGAGGACCCTTCAGGCTCAAGCCCCAGCCCCGGCTCAGCTGGTTCTGGAGGCAGGGACTCCTGTGCAGGCTGGGATTCCTCAGGTTCAGCCTCTGAGTCCGAATCCCAGGCCATCACACTCCCCTGGTGCTTTTTATTCTTCCTGCTGTTCCTCCCCCAATATTTCCCAGCTTCTCCCCTCTGCAGCCTCTGAACGATGCCCTTCTTCGAGCCACTGTTCTAAATCTATACTGTCCTCCTGTTCTTGGGAAGGTTCAGGAGAAGGGGGGAGGTGCCTAGGCACGATGCTCACATGCATGACGTCAGCCCTCCCCATTACCCTCGCAAGCTGGCGCCTCTGGCCCTAACTGTTCCCTTGCGGAAAATTTCATTGCATGCCACTGTACACCACCTTAACCTCCTTGGAGACAGAAATGCAGCAAACAAGCAAACTTGTAACATTCCCCCAAACTCTCCATCACACTGGACTGTGCTTCTCTAGACTGAGCATTGGTCCTGGTTTTCTTGCCCAACATTTACACAACGGTCAGACTACGACTGCATGTACACCATCCCGTAAAGCTCACCCTCAAAGAATCTTGGGAACTGTAGTTTCCCATCCCACACAGAGCTACAATTCCCAGAACCCTTGTCAAACTGCAGTGCTGAGGTTTCTTTGGGCAGGGGGAGATGGCATTTAAATGTGTGTATACAGCCATGCTGATCATTCATTCTGATTTCTTTGCTGGGTGGTGATACATCTTCCTGCTCATTCATTCATTCATTCATTCATTCCTCCCATACTTCTCACCATGTTTCCCCATCACTTTCCTAACTGCAAAAAGTCAGTTTTATCTGTTTTGAAAAACTGGAAGGCTGACAATCTTCTTTAGCTAATTTGTATGGTTTTTAAAGGGGGCTTTATTAAGAAGACAACGTTGGGTGGACAATAAAGAGAAACTAGCCTACTGTATATAGAATCTAGTCTACTTTGTACAAAGGTTAAAAGTAATCCTTTGTTGCTCCGCCTACTTTTGCCTCTGGCCTCGCCCACCACTTCTGAAAGTGGATTTCATGCTCTTTATTCAGCTCATAGTGGTGAGGAGGAATGGAAGTTCCCCCAGAATGTCTGCTTTAAATACATTATTTACACAATGGGCCCCACGTGATTGGCTATTTCCAGGATTCTCCTGTAGGCCAATCAGGTTGCAGATTCACTTCCACCTGGAGCTGGATTGGGTGGCTCCTGTGGACCAATCAGACTGCTGCATTCTGAATCCTATTGTTCTAGGACCAATCAGACTGATGCATTTTGGATCCTATTCAACTCAGTACATAACAACTTCCGTGTGGCCCTTGAAAAGTCACCTAAAAGGGAATGTGGCCCTTAGGCTGAAAAAGGTTTCCTACCCCTGTTTCAAGGCATCACTGAAACAAACGAATAAACGAATTTCAAATGGAGCAAAACGGAAAACTTCCCCCCCCAAGCAATTCTGCAATGCTGCCAGATTTGTGCAGAAACCGTAGCCCAGAAGCACTATTTTCTTTTTCACCGGGTCACCTATTCCTGCATTTAAAAAGGGGCCTAAGGCCTCCCTGACATTAGGGACGTTTTGATCTCTATTATTCACACGTGGAAAAGAGCAGCTGCAAGGAAAGAAATGTGTGGGATGCTCTAAAAGCCGCAGCTTGGATAGAGACCCTAGGCTCCAAGGCTGCTCCTTCTCCAGATGTTCACGGAGCTGTTTGTTGCTTTGCCATCTCTTACAAATGCCAGGAAAAAAAGAGGGAAAGAGAGAGAGAGAGAGGATGTAAAGAAGCACTTGGAAAACAATGCGGGTTTATAACATTGGATTTGGACACAGACGGAATCCAGGAAACTGGCGAGAGAATCACTTTCCTGGCCTGGGACAGGCATCATTATAGGGAGCAAAATTAGTTCGTTTTCCTCCCAGAAAGAGAAATGAGCCAGGAAGGAGGAGGATGTTGCTGCAAAGTACCTACATTTCTAGTATTCTAAAGAGGGAACGGTGAATCTGTCAATTTCAATTTCCCTCTGCTTCTCATTTTCCTAATCTTAAATTCACTTTGCTACATTTCCCCATCAGTTTGTTATATTTTAAAGTCCTTGTGCAAAGCCAGCAGCATTTCCATGCGAATTTTTCCCTAATAGACACATTTTTTTGCATGCAAATGTGCCCAATTTTTGTGTGCTACGTTCCTTAAGAGTTGCAATTTTTATGCACACCTTAAGGGTTGGAGACTGGGACATGGGTGGCGCTGTGGGTTAAACCTCAGAGCCTAGGACTTGCCGATCAGAAGGTCGGCAGTTCGAATCCCCGCATTGGGGTGAGTTCCCGTTGCTCGGTCCCTGCTCCTGCCAACCTAGCAGTTCGAAAGCACCTCAAAGTGCAAGTAGATAAATAGGTACCACTCCAGCAGGAAGGTAAACGGCGTTTCCGTGCACTGCTCTGGTTCGCCAGAAGCGGCTTAGTCATGCTGACCACATGACCCAGAAGCTGTACGCCGGCTCCCTCGGCCAGTAAAGCAAGATGAGCGCCGCAACCCCAGAGTCGGCCACGACTGGACCTAATGGTCAGGGGTCCCTTTACCTTTTAAGGGTTGGAGAACAGCACCGCAAAATCCTGAAGATCCATTTCCAGGCTTAGACAGCCAAGGCATGACACATGTTCCAAGTGACTGGCTGTCTGCCCATTTGTCCCCATTGTCATCTACAAATGCCAGACTGTATGAAAGCCCATTGCGTATTTTGGTTGGCTCACGGTTGATAAAACCCCTGGTGCTGAAACGTGGGCTGGAATTCTTATTTTTTCAGTGAAAACTGAAGGAGCAACATGTGTTCCGCCTTGGTTTTGTGGACATTTTAAAAGCATAGGTCACCGTCAACCCGCATGACTCAAGCAAGTGAGCAAAGCCAACTGCCACAGGAGAATGAAGGGGCACGAAGAAACTGCAGGAAAGTTGTGTTTGGTGGGACATAGGTAGGTGCCTAGACAGCATCTTACAAAGCAGAGACATCACCTTGCCAACAAAGATCCGTATAGTTAAAGCTATGGTTTTCCCAGTAGTAATGTATGGAAGTGAGAGCTGGACCATAAAGAAGGCTGATCGCCGAAGAATTGATGCTTTTGAATTCTGGTGCTGGAGGAGACTCTTGAGAGTCCCATGGACTGCAAGAAGATCAAATCTATCCATTCTTAACGAAATCAGCCCTGAGTGCTCACTGGAAGGACAGATCGTGAAGCTGAAATTCCAATACTTTGGCCACCTCATGAGAAGAGAAGACTCCCTGGAAAAGACCCTGATGTTGGGAAGGATGGAGGGCACAAGGAGAAGGGGACGACAGAGGACGAGATGGTTGGATAGTGTTCTCGAAGCTACGAACATGAGTTTGACCAAACTGCGGGAGGCAGTGGAAGATAGGAGTGCCTGGCGTGCTCTGGTCCATGGGGTCACGAAGAGTTGGACATGACTAAACGACTAATCAACAACAGGAAGGTGCCTTATTGTCATGAATTGGCTGGATGTAGAGGAATGGTGGGAGGAACCAACCAGCTGGGGAACCCCCAAGGGAAGAAGGCTAAGAGCCCAGGGAGTGGTGGTGGGACAATGATGGGTGGTCACAGGGAGAAGACTGGAAAGAGGAGGAGTCGGAAGCTGAAGCGGTCACAGGGTTTAGTGAGCGGGGAGAATCTGTGGCAGACAGAAGTCTAGCATCAGAGGCAGAAGCTGAAGCAGGAGAAATGGGGGGCGGGGCTAAGAGGCAGAGAAGGCTGGCTGCTGAAGAGTCACAAGTATCTCCCCCTCCTGCTGCAACAAGCTTCCCTCTTCTGGTCTCCCAGAACCAGGAGAGGCATGAAAAGGGTGGAGGGGAAGTTAGCTTCACATGGGCACAATCTCAGATTACTTGGGAAGGGCCCAGGAGATGAGGAGACTTAGGCAGCTCTGGGAAGGTGGGGAAAGGAGATTCCGACTAAACATACGGAAAAACTGATAGTAAGAGCTGTTCAACAGGGGAATGGTCTCTCTCGGGAGGTTGTGGACTCTCCTTCCTTGGAGGTATTTAAGCAGAGGTTGGATGGCCATCTGTCATGGGTGCTTTAGCTGAGATTCCTGCATTGCAGGGGGTTGGACTAGATGACCCTTGGGGTCCCTTCTAGCTCACAGTTCTATGATTCTCCAACCTTCAGTCTCCACAACCTTCAGACTTACTGGAGAAGAGCGGCTGTGGTCATTGGGCCTGGCACTCCTGAGCAGATTCTGTTTCTTCCAGTAAAGAGTTAACTTCATGTAATCCGTGTGATTTATTGCAGGCTCGCTCACGACACTTATACAGGATCAGAGCACTGGTCCAGCCAGCTCAGTACTGTCAACACTAGGGGGATTTCAAGCTGGGGATTGTTCCCAGGACTACCTGGAGATGCTGAGGATTAAACTTGAGACCTTCTACATGCGAGGCCAAAGCTCTACGGCTGAGCTACAGCCTCTCCTCCTAAATCGTGTGTGTATAGTTCCTTTGTGGCCCTAAAGGTATATCAAGCGCCAAGCCAGAAGGTGTCCAGTTGCTAAGTGTGCTGACGGCCACTTCAATTTTGGTGTTATGCAAAAGCCTTTTCGGTGGTCCTTGGGCAGCTGAAGGAGGCCTTCCCCAGCCGTCCCGAATACAGCATCAGCTTCCCCCCAAAGCTGCACAGCCCCATCTTTCCTGTTGAATTCCAGATGGATGACATTTTCCTGGCTGTCGGAATCTGCTCCTGGCAGCTGCTGCTGCAGCAAGTAGCAAACACTTCTTCCTCTGAATCACACTAAATCAGGGTTTGAGGTTTCATCGACTGAAACCTACAACCGAAAAGACTCTCTGGGCAGGAGCTGCTTTTCTGTTTTCAAGGGGGGGGGGGGAGTTGGCATTCGCCAAACGGAAACCATGACTTCATCCCTGAGTAAGCCAATCTGGAAAGCCCCGAGTCCCTTTGTTTGCTGGGACCGGGCCAGCCTCTGGGTTGGGACCATCAATAGATGCTCTGCTGTCGCATGACATGGAATAGCCCTTTGACTTCTACATAAACCAAGGTTGAAGGGCAAAAGAAGATCCTACTGGATCAGGCTCATTTAAATGGCTTCGGTCCAGTATATCTGGAGGAGTGTCTCCACCCCCATCGTTCTACCCTGACACTGAGGTCCAGCGCCGAGGGCCTTCTGGTGGTTCCCTCACTGCGAGAAGCCAAGTTACAGGGATCCAGGCAGAAGGCCTTCTCCATAGTGGCGCGTGCCCTGTGGAACGCCCTCCCACTAGATGTCAAAGAGAACAACAACTACCAAGCTTTTAGAAGGCATCTGAAGGCAGCCCTGTTTAGGGAAGCTTTTCATGATTGATGTATTACTGTATTTTAATATTCGGTTGGAAGCCGCCCAGAGTAGCTGGGGAAGCCCAGCCAGATGGGCGGGGTATAAATAATAAATTATTATTATTATCCAGCATCCTGCTCCCACAGAGGCCGAAAAGTTGGGGGAAACCAGGAAGCAGGATTTGAGTGCAAGAGCACTCTTCCTTCCTGTGGTTTCCAGCGAGCGGCGTTCCCAAACATGGCTGCCTCCAACTCGCGTACACCTCCGAGTGTCCTGATTTTCCAGGGACAGTCCCGGAATTACAAAAGCCACCCCGGCTTCTGATTTGAACCCGGAATGCCCCTATTTTCCCTGCCAGCTTCTCCAGCTCTGAGTTTGGGGAGGAGGATGAGCCGGTGCTTGTCCTGAGCGGCAGTGGCAGCAGTGGCGGATGCGAGAGAGCATCCCTTGGCCTCTCCATGGCCACTGCTGCCGGCCTCCTTCCTTGAGCAGCTCGTAGCAGCTGCTGGAGAGTGGACAAGGACGAGGAGAAGCTGCCACTGTGAAGGCCCAGCCCTGCGTGACATGCCAGTTCTGAAGGGTAAGCAGTATTGGAGATTCCATTCCACCTTGGATTCCAGACATGGGATTGTTGCGTGTCACATGTCTGTTTACATTCCAGCACAGACTGCTGGGTCCCATGAGCGGAACTTCTGCTCTGTGTATAACTTTTGTTTTTGACTCTCTGTCCGAGAAGACGGCAAGGAGAGACGACATGTTTCCTTGTTCTGATTTATGTAAAATAAATCCGTCGTTTTAGTATGTATCCACAGCCTCAGCCTCTTCTGTTGTGCAGTTTGCTCTGCTACGTATTGTGTGCTCAAGGCAGCAAGCTTGAGTCGCTGATTTACGTCGGAGCCAGAGGTTGATGAATCTCTGCAGCGTGAAGGCTGAGAGGGAGATGATCCAGCTGGGGCCTAACCAGCTGGCCTCTCGACCCCCAGATGCCGACATCCAGAGGGCAAGGGCTGCCCTGGGCATGAGAAAGGGAGAGTCTTGACGTAAAAAGGGGGGGAAATGCTTTGCATGTCTGCATACATACATAAGGTAAAGGTAAAGGACCCCGGATGGTTAAGTCCAGTCAAAGGCGACTATGGGGTTGTGGCGCTCATCTCACTTTTAGGCCAAGGGAGCCGGCGGTTGTCCACAGACAGCTTTCTGGATCATGTGGCCAGCAGGACTAAACCGCTTCTGGCGCAACAGAACACCATGGCGGAAACCAGAGCGCACAGAAACGCCGTTTACCTTCCCACTGGAGCGGTACCTATTTATCTACTTGCACTGGTGTGCTTTCGAACTGCTAGGTTGGCAGGAGCTGGGACAGAGCAACGGGAGCTCACTCTGTGACGGGGATTCAAACGGCCGACCTTCCGATCGACAAGTCCAAGAGGCTCAGTGGTTTAGACCACAGCGCCACCCACATCCACATTCATACATAACATGGGGGTGGGGATTTCTGCCCCTATAATCCCTATCAGAAACGCTTCGGGCTTTCTCATTTTAAACATCTTGTGTTTTTCTTTTTGTCAATCTACCAAAGAATAAAATAAAATAAGGTCAGTTGGGGAGGGGGAGTGAGAAACGTCTCTATTTTCATCTGAGGAATGTTGGAGGGGTTTGCAGAGGCAGAAGCTTAACCATTGTGCCTAGTAGCCATCAGTGGCTGTCTCCTCCATGAATTGGTCTGTTGTTTTTGTTTAGTCATTTAATCGTCTCTGACTCTTTGTGACCCCATGGACCAGAGCACGCCAGGCACTTCTTTCTTCCACTGCCTCCCACAGTTTGGTCAAACTAATGTTGGTAGCTTCGAGAACACTGTCCAACCATCTCGTCCTCTGGCGTCCCCTTCTCCTTGTGCCCTCCATCAGGGTCTTTTCCAGGGTCTTTTCCAGGGAGTCTTCTCTTCTCATGAGGTGGCCAAAGTATTGGAGCCTCAGCTTCAGGATCTGTCCTTCCAGTGAGCACTCAGGGCTGATTTCCTTCAGAATGGAGAGGTTTGATCTTCTTGCAGTCCATGGGACTCTCAAGAGTCTCCTCCAACACCATAATTCAAAAGCATCAATTCTTCGGCAATCAGCCTTCTTTATGGTCCAGCTCTCACTTCCATACACTTCCATTCCATCGGTCTAGCCCTCTTTTAAAGCCATGTGGGTTTCACCTGTGGACACATAAGACCATTTGATCCCTGTTCATCTTGTGAGCATATTCGGGCCATCATTTCAGGGCTCCTTCTTTCCCATCCCTACCTGCATCACCTATCACTGCAGTGGGGTGCACTAACACATAAAACCATGCTTTCGCATACAGTCGTCCAGCCCAACCCCTTGCAATGCAGCAATCTCAACATGCGGCTCCTCATCCAATTTGAAACCAGACCGGACCCTGCTTAGCTTTGCAAATGCACTGGCAGTTTTATTGCTGCACCACTAGGAGGCTTTTTTAAAAAAATCTTTATTAATTGTTCTATTGAATACCACCCTCTCTTTTTGACACAGAACCGGCTCGTTCTAAGTTATTTGCAGAGCAACCTCAGCTATAGGAAGCTGGTGTAAATTAGGCTGGCATAGGTTACCCTACCCCTTCATGGATCACTGCCTTGCCGTGGCGAAGGGGCTTGAAAAACTCAGAGAAGCTATGAACTATGCCGAGCAGGGCACCCAAGATGAACAGGTCATAGTGGAGAGTTTTGACCAAACGTGATCCACCTGGAGTAGGAACCGGCAAGCCACTCCAGTATCCCTGCCAAGAAAACTCCATGGACAAAGACAACAGGCATATAAAAGTTATGACGCTGGAAGATGAGCCCCTCAGGTCGGAAGGTGTCCAACATGCTACTGGGGAAAGATGGAGGGCACAAGGAGAAGGGGACGACAGAGAATGAGATGGTTGGATGGTGTTCTTGAAGCTACCAGCATGAGTTTGATCAAACTGCGGGAGGCAGTGGAGGACAGAAGTGCCTGGCGTGCTCTGGTCCATGGGGTCACGAAGAGTCGGACACGACTAAACGACTAAACAACAACAACAAGGTTACCCTAAACTCAGTACAGGAGCCTCTAGGAGGGATGAGCTGGCAGGTGAGTGTGGGACCGAGTTGTGAGGTTTGGGTCACATGAACCCAGCTGAACAGAATTTGGAATAGCTACAAGTCTCTCCTTGCCCCTCTACTCCCCCAGAACACCCATTTTTTGGAGGCTTAACCCAGCATAAATTACACTGACAGCAGTGCCAACATGAATAAAATATTGGGGAGGCCAGGTGAGACCTCGACCCCTAGAAATTGGCTCCTATGCTGTCTGATATTCCAGTGTTATCTCTGGCTGAGCGGCTTTCACTGGTGTAGCCCTGGCTCAGCTGAGAAAGTCCAAGATCCACTGCATCCAAAACCTATCCCGATGGGTCTTGGGTTCGAATTACATTGCTGGGCAATCTAAAAATTAGTAAAGCTGCAACAGTGAAAGGTTAGGCTTTTCCAGAGGTTTGGAGCAAAGGGACTCTTCCTTTCCTTTTTTTTTAAATAAATCCCAAGCTGCAGCCTGCGACCCCAGAGACCTTCCTTGCCTCCCAGGCCTGCTGTTGCTGCTGAGTTCATCTGGTCTCTTTTCATAACTGCATCCACCCGCTGCCCCAGCTCAGCAGGCAGCTTGGCCTGTTTATTCAGCTGCTAGCAGTGGCGGTGCCCTGGGATCATCAATCATGTAGGTTTTGCTCTCAAGGGAACGGGGGTGGGGGGGGATGGGACTGTAGGGGTTGGCAGGGAAGGTTTAAACACAGCCCTGGTTTACACATCAGCTCAGCATCTAAGAAACGCCCCCCCCCCCGGCAAATTCTGGCTGCACAATTAGAGGTGATTTGGAGCGCTTTCACAACAAACTTGCTCCCCCTCCACCAAATTGGACTTTCTGCAGTAAGGAAAGTGATGGGGACGGCGGGAAAACACGCTGGGAAAATGAGGGATAACACATGCTTGACGTAATGTTCGCCTCCCTGACAACCAAATAAGAATGAAGGTTCAATAAATAGCTGTCGTCATTTAACCTCCCTGCAAATCAAAAGCACAAACAAATGAGGAGGAACGCTCAAAAAGCAGGTGGTGTGGAAACAACCG